AAAAAAAAAAAAAAAAAAAAAACCCCACCCCCCAGTGTGATGAGAGACAACGAGGAGAGATCATATGAGATAGGCCCTTCTCCCTAAGAAGCAATAAATTGAACCCCACATTGGGCATCCCAGTCTCTGGGATCTGCATCAGAGAGATGAGCCCCCAGAATTTCTGGCTTGGGAAACTATAGGGCTGATGTCTGGGGGGTCTCAAAGAGCCATAGGAAACTGAGATTTCCCCTCTTAGAGGGCTCATGTGTGGTCTTGCTCACCCTTAAACCCAGTGAAAAAATAGCAGTTTGAAAAGTGCCTAAGTTATATGTGAGAAAGATTCATTTGCTGATCTGAGGTCATTAACTGGAAGGACAAGAGATAGTTGAGACCCTCCCCCAAGACAAAGGTGCTGGAAGCCACCATTTTTGCACTCTCCATATAGCCTGCTAGCACAAACACACAAGTTCAGACATGGCACTCATTGGCCAACTTACTGGGAAGTGGGGGGCAAGTGGTCCTGGCACTTGCTGAGGCTGGAGAGCATAGGCAGTTGTAATGCTCCCCTGCTTCTTTCCTGAAGCCAGTGAGCACAGAAAGTCATGGAGTTCTCAGTCTCCCTAGCTAGAGAGTGTGGGCCATTGCAAAACTTCCATGACCCCTACTCCCCAGCTGGGGCTGGCAAGTACTAGCAGTAAGGGCATTCTCTCGCCACCAGCCTAAAGCTGGCACACACACCCACAGACAAGGTACTCTCACTGCACTGCTGAGGCCCACAGGCACATAGTCAAAACATTTTCCTGATGCACTTCCAAGGCCAGCAAGTGAAGCCCCAACACAGTCCAACTGCCTTGCTAAACGCAGCAGGCATGCATGCACAATCCACACAGAAGACACCCTTCAATTGGCTGGCTCTGGCGGCCAAAGGGGCTAGTGTTCCAGAGCTCCACGGGACTGTAACAATCAGAAAGACTGTTCTCGGTAGGCCATCACCCCCAGGGCAATACACATACAACATACTGAAACACAACCCCAGACTTCTTGCAAAAAAAGGCCTATTTACTTAGCCTAGATCTTTAACCTGTGGGACAGGCTTCAGATTTCCCATACATCTAGAGGTTAAGTAGGTGCTTCCAGGGACATAAGCAGGGAGACAACATCCTCAGACACCCTCTTGACCTTCCTACAGCTGAGCGAGACTTCTCAGGAAGGTGCTGTATTCATCTGGAGGGCCAATTATTGCAAATTGTTGCCCAGGGAACACCTCCAGATCTTGTGGTCTGGAGGCCAGCAGGGTTTATGATTGTGGCTCCACTAGACTATATATATTTGCATACTTTAAAAGCTGCTGCTGAAAAAAGAAAAAAGAAAAAAAAGCCGCTGCCTGAGGGTCTTTTAATCAGCCTGAAACTGGGTGATAAATGAGATTCTTCCCCTTGGATCACTGACAAGTCTTGGCACACTCAATAATGGGAGCCTCTCAAGAATAAATCAGATGGTTTAGACAATCACAAAAGTTTGAGAGAAACCAAGAGCTAGGGCAAGTTTGAATAAGCAGGATCATCACCCACACAAGGTGACTCCTTCAAGACTGAGAGAGGTAGCTGTTTTTGCCTAATACACAGAAACACACACATAGAGTCAAGAAAATGAGGAAATGGGA